TTTTTTTTATAGGCCAGCTTCTTCAGCATTGATAATGAACAGTTTGATGCATACCCGGTACATGTTAAAATTCTTCCAAATAAATTGAGGTTTTTCATCAATGAGGAAACAAATCAGACAAGGTGACCATGGAGAAATGCAGATAGTAAACAACAAAGGTACAATTGGGGCTTAATTTGTCCATTAAGCCTGGTTTTCTTAAAATCACTACACTATCGCTATAGTGTTTTCATTACGATCATTGTACTGAGTAGTACATTGTGACCAAGCAATTAGCAGCACTGAAGAAGCTTGAGTGTACAGTTTTTTTGACACACCTAAATGGATTTGTCATTTGTGTCATTTGATTGGTGGATTTGGTATAACTGGATCTAATACAATCTTTTCATTGGTTAAAAGATGATGGAAAAAAGGTATATCATTAAAATTTCATAAGTATCAAATGACAAAGATCTATTTGAGGTGTGTTATAAACCGTTTTCACATCACGGCATCAATTACTGTATACAGATACTGAATGTTTTTATTCACACCATCTAGTGCAAATGCAGAAGGGGTGCAGAGAACAGTGCAATCGCACCCCCTAAATTGTATTAAGAAAAACAACTGTTGCATTATTGCATTCAAGATCTTTCCTATAATTTCTATAATTTTATATGAAGCACATAGAATCACTGTCTAATATCTGAGGTCAGAGGAGGATAGTCAGTGCGAGGCATTGCCAATTTACTTATTTTTGTACTTCAAATAATTTAGTGAGAAACTAAAAAAAAACCCCTTTTTTTCTTTGTCAGATTGACGTAATCTGGGTCAGCTGTGCTCACAATGCTAATAACATGGACAGAACACCAACTGATTACATGTCTTGTTGAGGTTCCTTGTGGCAGTATATCAGACAGCAACAATGCAACTCGATTTGTTCCGTTATTACTCTCAATTTATTGCCTCCAATAATTCTATTTCAGTTCATTGGTATCGATTTATTGCATAATAGAACTGTGTGGATAAAGAATATTTATTATTTTATAATCATTAAAATGATGTGAAAGAAGATACATTGTTGAATTATTTATTTGTATAGGTGTAATTTTTGCCCTACCTGACGTGGAAATGTACCGAATACTCAGTAGGGCTGAGGTCAGGTAGGGAAAAAATTACACCTATACATGTTTCTCCTGTCGCAAAACCAGTTATTGTCTATTATTCCACCACGACATTAACAATTACTAAGAATTATTTATTATTGTCAAAAGTAATTAAAAATACTACATTTTTAAGCATATTTTACTTATAAATTGTGCTCTAACTAATGTGTACAATTAAATGGAATGTATTACAGTACCTGAACAATACCTATGATAGTTTGTCTGGAATGTATACAAATTATGTTGGATAATACTTGACAGCATTTTAAATAAGAATGCTTGCTCCAAAGCTAGTGAATGTTTATGGTTCAACCTTAGGCTGTTGAACCATAGACAAACTCTGCGCCACCACTACTTTCTGATAAACCAAAACCTCAAACCATCAAAATGTGGAAGAAATTAGACATTTACATGCTACAACCATTCTGCTAGAAATAGCGAACCTTGACACCACCTGGACCGTAGGCTTTCTAAGTAAAACCCCCTTAAGGCAAGACTTTTTTTATACCTTGTTTCGTGAACATACTCTTTGTAAGATTGTTAGAGAAGGGGAAGAAAAAAAAATTAAAATGTTATTAGTGAATGTAAACAGCGTAGATTAGGATGGTTAAATGTTTTAAATTTATATAATTAGGAAGAAATATACATATCTTATTTTTAGAGATTTCAAGGCAGTGGTGGGCATAATAAAAATACAGAACTTTTTCTGAAATATCCATTTATTTGTGGTGGTGGGTGCATTAATTGGCGAAAAAATTAAATTTTATTTTTATTCGAATTCATTATTGGCGTGCTGAGGGTTTGCTAAACAAGGTATAACAAAAGTCCTGCCTAAGGAATCTAGCTTATAGGCCTCAATAGATCAATGGTTGACAGTAGAAGGATTATGTACTTTCTACTACTGTATTACATTTGAGAGGTTAATAAACAACAGCCTGCTACCAAACTGCATTGGAAGCCACCAGGGGTGGATCCTGGAAAAGGATGAAGACATGAAAAGAGAAAGAGGGCCAGATTCTTTGGTGAATCTTCCTTACCAAAAACTCAAGCACCATACCCCCTGTCCCCTAGGTTGGACTTCATGCATCCCCTACACTACCCCTTCCCCCATCCCCAATTCTGACCAAAACTTTTTTTGTATCTGCCCCTGATCACGGCATATTTAGCATAATACGAGTTCCTAACAAAATTTGGAATCAATCTTTCTAATACTGTATTTTTGTTGCCAGTACCAGTTCATTCGCGCTAACACTAAATCAGCTGTGTCTGACAAATGGTTTGGTGGAAAAGGAGAGGATGAAAAACGGGGGAAGGGGGAGATCAGGAAACTTTTCTCTACTTCACAAATAAAAATTGAAAGCCTCAGAAAAATGATAATTACATAAAAAATAAACATTTTTAAGATAAATTTGGCTCAGTATTTTTTTGCATTCTATTAATATTCTTACTAAAAACAGCAATTAAAACATGTCCATTATTAAGTATTATACTGTACTGTCTTCATAATAATTTACAAAACCTACAGTTAAAATACATTTATAAAAATCATAAAAATTGAATGAGAATGGGTAGCGGATATATATATATATATATATATATATATATATTTGTTTGAATTAACATGTACAAGGTTAGAAGTGAATGTCCTTTGGCACCAAATTTAAAAATATGTTTGTTACATTTGTCTACTAAAGTTCTACTTTGCTCATTCTTGGTCCCTTCTTTTGTTTTTTCTTATTTTTCTTTTTCTTTGGTTCAGCTTTCTTCTCTTGGAACTAAAGTAAAAAGATATATATTATGAATATAAATATGAATACAACCATAAGTGCTATATTTTGCTAATGCTAATACCCCTAGTGCTACATTTCCAACAATGCTATGGCTTGCTAAAAATATCCATTGTTCTTAAAATATTCAGCAATGACAATTTATTTTGCTCCTTTTTAACATTTATAGAACACAGATATATTTATTTAATGCATTTTTCCTTAAATCAGCAGGGAAAAAATTATACACTAAATTTAGATCACTTATTGTTTATTCCATCTCTGTTTTTTGGTTCTAAGTTTTTATTGTTAAAATAAACACCTACCTCAGGGGTTGTCTTCTTATAAGGGTTGTAATAGGAAGGATCCTTTGGTATAAATTCCATTTCTTGGGACATCTATAAAACACGTTTCTATTTTGTAAAAATGCTGATAAAACAGATCTTCAACATACACATTAAACATTTAATGTTAGTTTCAAAATTATTATTAATTATTTATTGTATAAAAATATTATCTAATAATACTTATTGCCATTTGGAAAAACAAACATCCATCAGATTAATGATGTAAAATATCACATTTAATCAATAAAATAAAAATCAGAATATCTTTTATATTCAAATTTTCATGAATGTTGTGAAAATTATGGTTGGGATATATCAGAAAAAGACTTATATACAATGTTGCAGTAAAGTTAGGAGCACTATTTTGTTGCAAATTAAAATACTTGTGGGTCAAAAAGAAAATGTTTTGAACACCCAACTAAACTGTAATATTTAGCACAGAGATCAATAGATTAAAAAATATTCTCACTAAATTAAAAAGCTGCTTGTGAACATCATCCAAAAAATCTGTTCGCTCTGCAAAATCCATCCCCCATCTCAGCTCATCCAGAAATTCTTTATTTTTGTCAAATATCTTGTGAGAAATGTCTGGTAAACGCAGTACAATATCACCAATAAATGCAACATTTTCAAGAACTACTGACACAACTATAAGGAAACATGAAATTAATTTAACTATTAAACATTTTGGGAGAAATCTGTGGAGTGATCAGCTTTGACAAGTTGTTTTTCTTGTTATTTATTTTGGTATATATACCATTATCTATCCGAATATTGCCACTGCTTTGAATAAACACCTGTATATAAACAAGGCAATTCAACAGAAGGACGCACATCTCGAGACATCAAAGGTTATAACTCTGGCATCGACATTCTAGGCGCACGTCAGCGCGCAATGATTGCAAAGGACTAATGATATTTTGCACTAACATTAGACTGAAATATATTCTTCATTTCAACATAAATTTTACCAAAATTGTGGTGAATTGTCGTTCATGAGACTCACTTCGCAGAAAAGATTAATAAATGTTCTGTATATACTCAAATGTTCGTTTTCGGCACCTTATGACAACCTTGTCAAAATGACAGCTTAATGTTACATAAGAACATGAAATTTTATAAAATTCGTAAATTTTAAATTGCTATAACTTTTCATTTTCTTGGTCAATTTTCACAAATCAAATTGCAGTTTATAAAAGCATTTAACAAGCTTGCGGTAAAAAAAAAATCAGATGTAACAGACATTGCGAAGTACCCAAAATTAATAAAGTAAAAACTAACACCATAAAACGAATGGCACGCATAGACTAATAATTGACGGCTGTACTCGCAACTAGTATCGGATTGTCGATGCCACAGTAAAGATCAAAGGACTGTACGCACGCGCTATGTTCGAGAACGGAGATGTGCGTCCTTCTGTTGAATTACCTTGATATAAATGGCCCCTTCAGAGCCTCATTTACAATAAACACCTCCCTGAAATAAATGCCCTAGGTGTTTAATTTTTTTTTTCAAATAAACACACCCCCCACCCCACCCAAATGACTGTAAACAAAACTAATGTAAGCAACACCATTCTGAACAAATTTTGTTATCTATGCCAGTAAAATTACATTTTTTTTTTCTAAACTGATTAAAACCAATCATCTTGTTATACTGTAGTTTCACATTTACAGTGAATTAACGGTCATTTTATTTTTGGGTATTCATTTTACACCAAAATAATAAACTACTCCATAATTATACGGTACATCAAAATATACAAAGGGCAGCAAAAGCTGAAAATATTGGATTTACAATTACACTAAGCAATTAGAATTGCAAATTTTTGTGTTCTAGACGCCTGAACTTAACATTTGACGCATTCTGCGTTATCATTTTTTTTCATTTTCTTTATTTTTCCTTTTTTTACCTCCCAAAAGAGGGGGATAGGGGCCGGGGCCAGACTGCCCCCCGCCCCTAAATCCGCCCCTGTATTTAAAGATAAATGATATAATATCAGTGGCAGATCCAGGTATTTGAAATTATAATAAAGGGGCAGGTTTGGAGGGACTTCCACAGTTGGAGAATCTATACCACCTCATCCCCACCATGGTTTCGGCTGAGGTAAGAAAATGTATGATTATGGCATGTTTAGATGGCCGGAAATGCCACTCACAGACATAAATAAAATATAATTTTCTTCTTATCTCCATTTTAAAAATGTTTTGACCAATTTGGTAGGCCCTTCTCTTTAATCCGCCTCTGGATATAATATGATGTATGCCCTACAGTCAATTTCAGAGACACATGTGTTATGTATCAACAAAGTCCTTTTTTGGTCAGTGTGCTTGCTAGACGAGTATGGGTGGGGCCCTTAGGGAATAGTATTCAGTGACATTGATACATACTGTTTCTTGTATCTTCATCTGATGGTAGTGGCATACCAGGTTCAAAATCACTTTGTGATATATGTTTCCTTGCTTCAGCAAACACCTGCAAGACAATATGACTTATTCAGGATTGTTAATACATTTGTAAGAGGCATAAATGTAGTCTCAAAGTTATTGATGAATGATGTAATAAAGTATGAAGTCTAGTGGAGTTGAATAGCTTAGTAGCTAAGATGCTTGCCTTATAATGCCAGGGTTCTGGGTTCAATTCCTGTGACAGTAGGACTTTTTGTCACAACCAAAAACAACTCCACTTGCCAAACCCTCATAGAGAGATCATTCTATCCTTTAATTGGTGAGTGTACTTGCTCCAGATTGTTAAAGGCGGCCTGCATGGGGAATATCCTCTGCGCAATAATTTCGCCAAGAAATATGTCCGCACATT